AGGAAGGAAGGAAGGAAGGAAGGAAGGAAGGAAGGAAGGAAGGAAGGAAGGAAGATGCTATAGGAAATCTATAAATTTAATCCTTTCATAATAGGGAGAAGGGAAGGGAGACTGACTAACATTTGGAGTCTAGAGATCTGTATTTAGAAGCACTTAGAATAGCTTATGGAATTGTAACACTTATCTGTAAAAATGTGACATGCTGTGATGCTCATGTCATATATCACTGAATAAATATCTGTGGTAATGACTGATAAAAGCAACAATAGCTAGCTTTCAAAAGAAAAATCAGGATATTCCGGCCAGCTTCTTCTGTTATACTTTTGAAATAATTATTTGTATTTCGAAAAAATGTCTGACATCCATCATTAATATATCTGCTTTTCTTCTTTTCCTCTGCTTACGCTTTCATCAGTGTAAATGAACAGTTTTTATATTTGAAGGGCTAATTAAAATTACTCTGGGCAAATTGGTTTATTGTGGACATATTCTTACATAATCATGGATTTGCATGCTCCAGTAGAACAAATGCTAAGGAAAAGGAGTTTATTTGTACACGGGAAGGTTGCAGAGCTATCTGATGATGAGAAAATGTAGTCTGAGATATATTAATTTTGAATGCCATTGATGCTCAGCTTTTGTCTGTAAATTCTTTCTTCCCTCCCTCCCTCCCTTCCCAAAGCTGATGTGTTGCCTGAGTGACCTGAATTTTTCCCGGGCAAGTCTTTTGCAGCATGCTCCTTCCATTTGGCAGGGGAACCTAAAGAGACCAACTGCCTGTCTTCAAAATTATGCGACTGCAACAATAGATTGCCTTCACTGAAATCATCATCTAGCACAAATTGTTTGCAGAGCTGGCCTGACTGCATAAGCTGCAGCCCAAATCATCCGTTTCAGGCTGCTGTATTTTAGGCACCGGAGGGCTCTCTTACAGCAGCTCAGGCCATGGCAGGCTTAAGCTCAATATTGTCCACTCTGGCCTGCAGCTGTTCGCTAAGTTTTTGGACAGGAATCCCAGCGGTCCTTTAGCAAAAGGCTCACTTGTTTATCCCCTAAATTAAAAACAAACAAACTGACACTGCCCATCCTTGTGATAAAGGATGGCAGCAATAATGGGGCAATCCTGGGGGGCTGCAAAGGTGAGGCTAGGGACCCATATGCAGGCAGTGGGGCTTCCTGGTCTAATTTTAGGTGCATTGATGCAGAGCTGGGGGTCTGAGATGTATGAAGACCCTGTCGAACACATTTGTACTATCTACATACCCTGCTGCCATATAATAATAGTAATAATTTGTTAAATTTATGTGCCCCTCAACTCCCAGTGACTCTGGGCAGTTTGCAATTGTTAAAACGTTTAAAAGCAAAGAATAATACAAGAAACAAAAACAGCACGAGACAGAAGGACAATGATGGCAAAGAAAACAAACCTGGAGGGGAACCGAAAGAAAGAAAGAAAGGAACATCAGTCATCCTCGCCAAAGGCCTGGGGGGAAAGCCAGGTCTTTAGAGCTCTTCGAAATACCAGTAGGTTGGGAGCCATTCAAATTTTGGGGGGAACCTCATTTCAGAGGACAGGCGCAGCTACAGAGAAGGTGTGGTCCTGGGGCCCAGACAGATGGGATTGTTGAATCGATGGGACCCGGAGTGCTCCAACCCTGCTAGATCAAACTGGCCGGGCAGATGCTGTGGGAGACAAGCAGTCCCTCAAGTAACCAGGCCCTAGGCCATGTAGGGCTTTATAGGTGGCAACCAGCACCTTGAATCGCACTCAGAAGCAAACTGGCAATCAGTGCAGCTCACAAAGCGGAGGTGTTACGTGGACATACTGAGGCACTGCATTCTGGACCAGCTGAAGCTTCTGGGTGGTCTTTAAGGGCAGCCCCATGTAGAGCACATTGTAGTAGTCAAGCCATGAGGTGGCCAGGGCATGAGTGAAGGGCTCCCCAACCTAGGAAAGGGCACAACTGGTACATCAGAGGAGTTTGAATAAAAGCCTTTCTGGCCACAGCTGCAACCTGCTTACTGAGTAGGAGCTGTGAGTCCAGGAAGACCCCCCAAATTGCACACCATCCTGGAAGGGGGAAGTGCAACCCCATTCAAGATCAAAGTTGAAATATCCCCAGATCCGGGTGGTCCAAACACCCACAGCCACTCAGTCTCTTTTTTAATAATAATTTTATTAAAGATTACAGTAATACAAATAAAAATACCTCCCCATTCAGTCCTGGTCAGCAAAAGTCCTAGACGGCTAACAGCATACTAAATTCTCATTTTCTGTGGACCTTTAAAGGTTTAGAGCAGGGTTGTGAAAACTTTTAACCTGCAGATGTTGCTGGATTAGATCCCATATTGCTTCTGACCATGAGCCCTTATGTCTGGGGGTCTGAGGGAAGAAAACAAAGATGGGGTTTGGCTGGTTTTTTCTTTCTCCTAATCTTAATAGTTTAAATCAGTCTTTTTTCAACCTTGGCCACTTTAAGATGTGTGGACTTCAACTCCCAGAGTTCCCCAGCCAGCATGCTGGCTGGGGAATTCTGGGAGTTGAAGTTTGAAGAAACAGTGGTTTAAATGTACTGTATAAGTTCATAAATAAATAAATACCACACAGACAAGCACATATCCAAATTGGTAATCACATTTCACTCCCTTGAAACGTTGTGAGGAAACTGAAATCGATATAACAAAGGTAAAACATTAGCATGAATAAAAGGCTGTGGTCGGGCTCTTCTACTGTTTACTTTTCTTTAAGGAAAAAACAATCTTGTTTGGGTTCCTTTTCAGACTTAAGTAGTTTGGGTCAGTGGCATCCATGGGGGGTGTCAAAAAAGTCAAGATGGCGGTCATGGCAATGCAGGTGGAGCATTGTATATATGTGCATTATCAATGCAGATACAAAAGGGGTGGGGCTTCTATTGCACTGCTGGGATTGCCATCTTGACTTTTTTGACCCAGTTATTTGGGTCGCGCTTCTACCTGAGACATCCAGTTCATTGTTTAGATGTGTGCCTCTGTCTGTAGGAAGGATTTTGCCAGCATAGAAATTGCATTGTTTGATAATGAAAAATGTCTTTATGACACTGCAACCTTGGTTAAGGATTTATTAGGAAAGTAATATCCCAATTCTTTTCTCCCTTTTTTTCTCCCTTTTCTTTTTCTCCATTCTGTCTTCACTCAAGGAGAGAATCATTTCCATAAGAATGCAGTGACATTCTTGTAGCCCACAAGATTAACATTTTATCCTTTTTTAACAACGACAAAAAAACCCTGTTTCTCTGTTCTTCAAAAGTAATCAAATATTGCTATTGATGTGGAATTTCTTCTCCATTATAGATTCATTAGATCACAACATGAATGATAATAGTAGTTGAATATTTGGCATTTCTCCAGCTATGAAGAAAACCCATGATGGGAAAGTTCCATGTATTTTAGCAGCAATCTAAGAAATTTCACTTGACCAGTTTGAGCAACTTGATCAAAGAAACCAACTGGAAACCTCTGTTCTTCTTTCAGGATCCCAAGAACAGAGTGAATTAAATTGTTTTGGAAATATATTCTTTAATTTAAACTTTATTAGACCCTCTGCTTTCTAGAAGGAATTAAGTTCCTCTTTGAAAGTCCAGCACATTTGCCCCAATGATCTAATTTGCATCTTTTTACTTTCACTACCCAAGTCTTCCTCCTGAACTCTGCATGTCGAGCATTTATAATTCCTCAGGTTCATTGTTTATATGATGGAGACGGGCAGCTGTCATGTCCTGGAACGTGAGCATTTTTGTAAGCTCTGATGTTCTAAATTGTATTATTAGTATATCAATTTTATTAGTATTATATCTATGGTAGTCTTCCCAAACCTGGCGCTGTCTGTATGGTGGACTTCTACATTGAGAATTCCCACTCAGAAAGCCTCTTATTTGAGAGCCAGAAACTGGAGCCACCAGGATCATATCGACTAAAGGCCATTCAGAAACCAATCCGTTTTGATTGTCATCTCATGCTTCTCCAGCATCTCACAGAGTTAAGGGATTACTTGTAGTTCACCTTTATGGATTCTGGATTTCATGTCAATCCTATTTAAAAACAATATATGTATGTATGTATGTATGTATGTATGTTTGAAGCCTGAATAATAATTACCTTTTGGTTTATTGACCTACATTAATGACCCATTGATTTCAGTGGGTTTGCACAGACTAAATCTGAGCAGTTGATCAAACGAAGTAAAGAACTGGGGAATTACATGCCGCATTCTTTAATTGATTTATTTGGATTATCAATTAGCTTTAAACCCCTTCAGTCATTTAAAAAGACATTCATGTTTAATTGATCAGGGTTTTTATAACTTATGCAGAATAAGACAGTACTTGCTACAGGGAAAATGCAGGCAGTGGAGCCAAAAAAACCTTGGCTTTTGTTCCTTCTTCCAAAAGCTGCTGAGGCTTTTTTAAACCTAGCTTTTTAGAATTTGCATTATTTTTCTGGCATAGAAATATTCTGGTCTTGCAGTATAAAAAG